GGGGGGGGGAATAAAATCTACCTGATTTGGGTGCCGAGAGGGACAGTGGCCCGGAAAAGAGAATAAAGAGCCAGGTGAGCAATAGAAGTGGCCCCGGTTTGTGTTTGATTTAGATTCTTCTGAGCACTTTTTGTGATGCATTAGGCATAGTGGTGTCTGCAGTGCGTGGGGTCTCCTCCATGACTCTTCCTGGAGGAAAACTGCAATATGTCTATTTCCTGGGTGTTCTTAAATACGACGCCACATTGGCCCGGAAAAGAGAATAAAGAGCCAGGTGAGCAATAGAAGTGGCCCCGGTTTGTGTTTGATTTAGATTCTTCTGAGCACTTTTTGTGATGCATTAGGCATAGTGGTGTCTGCAGTGCGTGGGGTCTCCTCCATGACTCTTCCTGGAGGAAAACTGCAATATGTCTATTTCCTGGGTGTTCTTAAATACGACGCCACATGGAGGAAGCAGCCACATCTTTGGATTCCTGTGTTCAGGTGCTCTGCTTTGCATGCACGTTGCTCGTGGCCACTGTGGCAAGGGTACACGAGTCCGAAGCACTTGCTTCCTGTGTGCAGTGCATAGTTTCCTCACATGGGTCTGGCAGCTCGCGGCAGGTTCCCCCCCCCCCCCCCCCCTTGGTGAATCACTGACATTCTGAAGCACAGAGCCCAGACCCGCTGGAGAGGGCCTGCACTGCTGACTGTTCTCTTGCTGACCCTCTTTTAAATGCAAAATATCAGGTCTGCATTTTGATGTAGCTCCCTCTCCTCCTCCCAGGCCGGGCTGGTGTTTCTTGCCACACTTCTACCACTGGACTCAGCAGTCTGAATTCAGACCCTTTCTCTGTCGCCCCTCCCCCACGAGGAAATTGGCAGCCTGCCTCCAAAGTGAACACCTCATCTGAATGACCCACCTAGAGCGCCTGGCCAGGGTGTATTTGTATATGCTAATAACCCTGACTTGTCCTAGCTTGTTTATAGTGATTTGTGGCTGCATTTATATGCAAATACTAACAACTTGCTGCTGAGTTAATTAGCATTTTTTCTCTTTGCTTCCTGGAGCTTTGGGAAAGGGGCTTTATTCTTTTCATTCCAGTCGTCTGACCTAACCCCCCACCCACGTGTAATCCTGGGAGTGCCAGACCATGCCCCTCCCCTCCCTTTGAAGGAGGAATAACCCGGCACCAGAGAGGTGCTCTCAGTCTAAGCCCGAGATAAAAGAAACATGGCTGGAGCTGGGGCGGTCGCTGCCGGGCAGTCAAAGCTGCAAGCAGCTGTGTTGCTACAGAAATTGCAGTTTTCCTGGGTTCTGAGCATGGGGCCCACCAACCCTTCCCTCCAGGAAGAGCTGTTTTGTACCTTTCCCTAGTGTGGGCATAGGACGCGCTGGCTCTCGGCCTTTTTGATGGTGTTCTGCTTTGTGAGTGTCTGGTGTTTGCTGGTTACGCTCTGCAGCAGAGTGACTTCTGATGCTAGGTTTTTTTTCCTGTTAAACAAATCTTGGAAACGCTCAATTTCTGCTTTTCATGCTGCGACCAGAAACACCAATATAATTAGATTAAAGACTCCCAAAAGATAGGCTTCGTGCTTGTGTGTTCTTGTGGCCCGGCTTTGCACAGTTCAGAGTGTGCTGCATTGTATGTGGAAGGAGTCGGCCTTTGAGCTGACGGGTAGCAGAGGTTCACCTGGCTGCCTGGAGGATTATGTCTCAAAACAAGGTTTGGTTAGTCTGCCCGGTTGCAGGGCACTGGCTTTTATTTGGAGTGCTGGTCAGGGTTCCAAGTGAAACGGGCTAAATGGTACTCGCTTGCTCTGCTGATACTGAAGTAATAGTCTGCAGGCTAGAAACCCTGGGTCAGATCTCGCCATGTGCTCTTTTACCTGCAGGAGGTGCAATTCCCGACCTGCCTGGGAGCCAGGAGTGCCTTTTCGCTGGTGTGTCCTGTACTGGGAGTGCTCCACTCTCCTCCTTGCCTGTCCCTCCCTCCCTCCCTCCTGCCCTGAAGCAAAGTCTTTCACAGTTACTGAGTCAGTGAGAATAAAGCCTTTGTTTTTCAATCTTGAAAGGTAGGGCCCTGGCTGCACAGCTGCAGGCCTGGAGCAGGGGAGCCGGAGCGCCTCGCAGCCTCTAATCTCCACTAAAGCTCCTATCTCCCTGCCTCTGTGTGGGAGGGAGGGAGCTGCACAGGGCATGTGGCCTGTCTGAGAAAAGAGGGTAAATCTCCACAGGCCCAGCGCGCTCCTTGGAGTTCACATACAGTAACTCAGGGTAATGGCGGTGCAGGGTTAAGTTATTGGGTGGAAGGGATGCTAGTCTCCTCCGAGGGCAGCAAGATTTTGGGAGGATGAGGTCTCTGAAGAGAAGGCCAGTGTGATTCTCTTTCCTACATGGCTTCCAACTCCTGCCTCAGGACACAAGCCAAGTTCTCTCTCTGAATCGCTCCATTTTCATGAGCTAGATTCTCATGTTGCATTCTTTTATCCCCTTTGCCCCGCCTCTCTTCTGTGTGTTATCTGCATTAATCCCAAGCTCCTTGGGCAGCGAAGTGTCTTAAAGCAGTGTTTCTAAACCTTTTTATAAAGTACCCCTTTTTCCAAAAAAAGTTCCCCTGAGCCCTACAGTTTTAAGACACACAACATTTTTTTTTCTACCATTGCAACACATTTGTTTAAACAACTTAATCGTAGCTGGACAGATGATTAAATTTTTGGGTGTAAAAAGTACAAAAATAATCAAGTGCTGTAAAACTTAAAACACAAATTCAGTTTTCTCCAAATTTCAGTTGTTGACATACCCCCAGACTTCCGTCAAGTACCCGTAAGGGTACTCGTACCACTGGTTGAGAAACTGTCTTAAAGCAGCTAGTGTGTTTTGGGATGCATCTGAAATAGTGGAAAGAGAAGGGGATTAGAAGCCTCAGGCAGGCGGAAGTGGAAGTCCGCGATCCCTTGTCCCATCTTGATTGACAGTAGTGTTTGCTCTTTGCTTCCTGATGTGTGGAGTCAGAATGTAGCAGTGTGTGATTATGGAGGAAAAGCCATGTGACTTCTGTTGCGTTGTCCATGTAATAAGAAGGGGAGGAAGAGGGGAGAGAGGACCACTCTGTATCCTGTAGCATTTAGGCTGGTGCAGGATTGAGGGAGGGAATGTCCTTTGGTGCCACATGGTTATCTGTTTTCTGTTATCTGGTGGCTTTAAAGCCTTGAAGGGATGGGGGGGAGGGGCACACATTGCCACTTTCACCTCTAGTCTCCGCATGTGGAGGGGGTGTTTTCTGCAGTCTTCCTCTTCCAGCCCACTCCCTTGTGCTCTCAGTTCCACCACTCTCTCCTGGTACATGTGATGATCAGCACTCTGGTTTGATTTTGAGCCTGGTAGGCTGATTTCCCTGTCTTTAAATACCTTGGATGCTTTTTCCTCCACCCCCTTTTATTTTCTTATTTCACATCCTCAAAGAAAAGAGGGCCTGGAAGCACAGACCTGTCCTGCTGCATTCCTGAGTAATTGGGTTTTGATTAACTCAGGGGAGAGAAGTTGGTTTCTCATAGCGACCAGTGGGATCAAAGTGCCAGGAGAAGAGGTTCCCGCTCTGTGTCCCACCATCAGGGGCTGCCTTTTCATCCTAGGCTACTTGGGCAAGTTATTTCCACTTCTCTGTGTTTTTCCCCCTCATTCTAGTGCTCAGAGCTTTTGATGGACGGAAAAATAATCCCCGCCCCTCCTTCTTGCATTTTCTTCCTAGACTCCCTTTCCCTGCGAAATGCATTCTTGTGCTAATCCTGCTACAGGAGGAATGCAAATAGCTCTAATTGTAAGACCCAGTCTGGGTCCTCCATGTCTGTGCTTCTTGGAGGAGGTGGTTGAAGCATTGCCCTTTTCACAAGCACTGGGCACTTTCCCTTTTCTGGTGGGATGGCCGTCAGAATATCCGATTCCGGTCAGGTGAGAGTGAACAGTAGTGGGCGCCTTCCTGGAAGCACAGATGATCCATGGTAGCACTCGGGGATGCACTGGCCCCCAGTACCTCTGCCAGTTTTTGATGGCTAAATGGATGCTCTCCTGTACTCCCTCCCTGCTCTTCCTCCCTGCACAGGCTGTGCCTGGAAGCATAGGTGGCTTCTCTACTACTTGCTCCTGGATTGAGAAGGGGTATCCATTCACCTCTGCTGATGGATCAGGTTGAATGCACTGAGAGATTTTCAGCTCATGGCAGCGAGAAAGAAAGCTGGCATGGTAGAGCAGCCCTTCTTCAGGACAGAAAGCTGCCATGTCAAAATCCTTTTGTCAAAGGGACAAATGCATGTTTAATGATAAGCAGTGGGTCATGGCACATATGATCCACAGTGAATCTCGTACTGTTCTGAAAGGATCACATGGAGAATTTAGCTGTTGGCAATTTAAAATTTTAATCATCATCATTAAAGTGTCATTGCTCCAGGAAAGAAGAGGCTGCCATGCTGGTGGTAAGGGTACAAATCCTTTTGTCAAAGGGACAAATGCATGTTTAATGATAAGCAGTGGGTCATGGCACATATGATCCACAGTGAATCTCGTACTGTTCTGAAAGGATCACATGGAGAATTTAGCTGTTGGCAATTTAAAATTTTAATCATCATCATTAAAGTGTCATTGCTCCAGGAAAGAAGAGGCTGCCATGCTGGTGGTAAGGGTACTGGGTTCAGTTCAGAGTTGGGGACCCCTGATAGGTGGCATTGGCATGCTAACGAGCTTAAGGGAATGAATGGCAGCAAGGGTTTGGGCACACTTGCCATGAACAGGTGCAGCAACGCTTCCCATAAGGAGCCATGAGCATTTGGTCTTGCTTGGACAATGAGTGGGATAGCAGCGAGGGCTTGGCT